ATGTAACGAGATTTAGTCGACAAGAGCTTGAGCTAGCTTGTGAAGACTTCAGCAACATAATTGGTTCATCTCCAGACAGTTTGGTATACAAGGGCACGATGAAAACTGGATCCGAGATCGCGGTTATCTCGATGAGCATGAAAGAAGAGCAATGGACAGGATACCTTGAACTCTATTTTCAGACAGAGGTATTGTTTTGATTTATCAATGACAAGGTTAGTTGATGATTTTCGAGTTGAGGTTTCATCGGAAATAATGATTTAGGTGGCAGATTTGGCTCGAATCAACCACGAGAATACAGGAAGATTACTGGGATATTGCAGAGAGAGTAGTCCATTTACAAGGATGATAGTTTTTGAGTATGCATCAAATGGCACATTATATGAGCATCTACATTGTAAGCTAGCATTTTCTTGTCCCAAATTTTCATGGTTCTTTTCATATGTTCGTGTTATTTACCGTCGTCGATGACTGCAGTTGGAGAAGCCTGTCAGTTGTCTTGGACGAGACGAATGAAGATTATTTTAGGCATCGCTCGTGGACTTAAGTATCTTCATACAGAACTCCAACCTCCGTTCACCATCTCTGAGTTGAATTCCAATGCTGTATATCTTACAGATGATTTTTTCCCTAAGGTAAATCTCTAAGTCAATCTTTACATTTTTCTGTCTAGAACTGAAAGATTAACATGGAGACGTAAAAGGTAATCGAATTGAGCGTTTGGTACTTGAGTTTGTTTAGTATGTTGACACGAAAGTTCTATTGAATCAGTTGATAGACTTTGAAAGTTGGAAGACGATTCTTTCACGATCGGAAAAGAACTCGGGTACTATTGGCAGCCAAGGTGCAATCTGTATTCTTCCGAACTCGCTAGAAGCACGACATCTGGATGTGCAGGGTAACATCTATGCTTTTGGCGTTCTTCTACTCGAAATAATCAGCGGGCGACCCCTGTACTGCAAGGACAAAGGGAACTTGGTAGATTGGGTAAGAAATCATGTGTGTATTATACAACATTTGAAAATGACCCCTTGGAACTAACTGAAAGCCTTTGTGATGTAGGCCAAGGACTATATCGAAATGCCAGAAGTGATGTCTTACATTGTCGATCCCGAGCTGAAGCATTTTAGATACGAAGACCTCGAGGTAGTATGTGAGGTGGTGAGCCGCTGCATCCATCAGCAGCCCACGAAACCTCTATCGATGAAGGAACTCTGCAGCATGTTAGAAACAAGAATTGACACCTCCGTTGCCATTGAGTTCAAGGCATCTGCTTTGGCATGGGCGGAGTTTGCCCTCTCATAGAAGTGAAGGGTGGTACATATACAGTTTGATATACACAAAAGTTGTAGCACTCCCTTTCCCCTTCTAAATTCCTTGTAAATATTCAATCCTAGGTCAGGCTGTATAACTTCTAGAATCATAAAGTACGCCAATATCAATCTTTGATCAGTGTCATTTAATCATAGATCAACAATGAAGTTTTAACAAATTTGTTCTCTGCCGTTTCTGTTTTCCTTGCGCTTAACATACCTCAGCTTTCCATCGTTTGAACGTTTCTACCTTAATTGCAGATGTCTAAGAGGAAATAAATAAAATCAGTCCGGACAGGTATTTTGATGAAAATTCAGGGCAAAATTGCACTCATTGTAAGCTCTTTAATTTGAATACATTAACTATACTCAATCACATAAGATATTCATCAAAATTGGAAACTCTGAAAGCAGCATTGAAAATCAAATGCATGAACAATAGTCTATTTATGATGAGACCGAGAGTAATGGTTATCGTTTGGATTTCTCTTCCCGCTAAAAACTGCCAAAGCTTGCCTTACGGGAGGCTGCAAAGGAGCTCTCTTATCAGTGTTATGATGGCTGAAGAAATCATCCACGGCAAAGAAATCGTCTCCCTGAGAATGAAAAATGGAGATTACAAGGTCATGAAGGTGAGTTGAAAACTTCACGAATTCCGATCATAAATAAACCAAAACAACAGACTGGTTAAAGATAAATGTGAGGCAACTTGGATTGGAAATAACCTGTTTATTGACTTTCTTCTTGGTCTTGGGATGAAGAAACTTCTGCGGTAGTTGATCTTCACGTAAAACAAGATTCTTGGTGATGGCATCCCTTCCACCTTGGGGTAGAGGAAGTGAAAACTGTACATAAAAGGAAAAGGCACATTTGAAAATGAAATTAATTATTCTTCTGATGGACAATACAATCAGAGAAACTACCTTTGTGCCACGCAGAGTAATCCTTGGCTTACGGGAAGCTAACACAACTCCGTTCTCGCCAACTGTAACAGCTACCTTGCGCAAAGTTCCACCGTTTCCACACTTGGGACAAAAGATCTTTCCAATTTCAGCTGTGACATTGTAGCAGGCGTGACATTTCAAAATCCACCTGAACGACACATCATGAAGATTTGAGGACATAATTCATCACTACATTGCATGGCTTCATCTCAAACTACTCAATCAACATTACAAGGAAATTTATACTGACTCGGACCAGAAAGTTGGCTAGAGCTATAAAATGAACACAACCAAACCACCGACTGGAAAGAAGGTTGTCAAAAAGGTGAATCATTTAGTTGCGACTTTTGGATGATCGAATTTGATTATAAAAACGATTCGTAATTGGTGAGTTAACAAACTTTTAAAGATCACATAATAGCAAATCACCACTAAATATACATACCTATGCAGTTGGCGGATCTGCATTCCTCCTGGAGCCAACAAACGTAAACCCATTTGCAAAAGGACATTCTGCATTGCAAAGTCACCAGTTACACAAGCTACGCTTGATTCAGACAAGGATCTCAGCATCCAACTCTGATCACTGCTAATATCATCTATATTTGATGTGTCTACACTTTCATTAGTCTGACTCGAGTATTCTAAATGTTCCATCTCATCCTTCGCTGTATCGTTGATACCCTCAGCAGCTACAATATTCTCCACCTCACTTATGTCCAATTCTTCTTTTTTCGAAGCGTCAAGCCCTTCCATGTGAAAAGCATTTAATGAATCTTCTTCCAATCTCATCTGATTCAAAATTTCAGAGAGGTTTTCATTGTTGTTTGTCCCTTCTGCTATCTGACAGTCATTCCCATTTCCGGTAATTGGTTCCGAGATTTGATCCTGTGATTGACCTGATCTGTTATTTTCCACTAGGACATCACCATCTGTGGTTTCAACATCTTGCTGACTGTCCTTTTCAGCTAAGGCCTCATAATATTCACGCCGGGCTTTCCTCCTAAGATATCTTCTCTGAGTACTTCGACTGACAGCAGGTGTCCAATCACCCTCATTGTCATCATATTGTCCCTGAGATGCATCAATTCCATCAGCCACCATTTTCTTCCCTTCGATATTAATTTCCTTTTTCTTTGGAGGATATCTCCTTGATCTTCTTGAACCACTCTCAGTTTCATCTGGATGCTCAGAGTTATGCTCATCCTTGTGCTCTAATGAAAGATCTTCGGATTGGCCATCTGAAGGGACTATGTTCAGGTTTAAATCCTGCAAAGGAAGGATCTTTGATGTGGTATCAAGCGGAGCATCAGCATCTTGCTCTAATGCTTCCCACTCTTCCAGATTAGGAACGTTAGAGCCCCACCCAGGCAAGTCTTTCTCAGGTAACCTCTTTGTATTAACCATGTGGACAGGGGGAGGACACTCACGGAGATGTTTGGTCCCATGGATCTGAGTCTCCAACGTGTAAGTGAGGGCAATAAGTTTAATATCAACATCTGAAAGGGTCTGTAAGTCACCAGTTGCCCTTGCAAACTTGATTACTGTAAGATTCAACAGAAAATACATAAGAAAGGTAGAAAAAAGGAATGCACACTGATATAGTGGTATCGCTAAATCATTGTTATTTCAAAAAGGCTTTCACTTCGGAAACACGACTCTAAAAAAACCATCCCAAACTCACTCTAACAGAAGTTCCGCTTAAACCTTACATCAGAGCGGTCCTTAGAAACAACAACCGTTTAAACTTCAAACTAACAACACAATTAACGCGTAGAAACAGACAGGGACCATAATTCAACAGTCTACCTTTATTGAGAGCTTCGGGGGAGGGATCCATGGATTCGAGAGTGAAGGGGACGAAGGCGAGTCTGTGGCGAGAGACGGGATCGCGAACCTCATCCAAAACCTCAGGAACGGAAACAAATTTGTCCGCGCAGGTGGAGAGCTTTTCTCCCCCTTGAATGATGGCGTTGGCATCAACAACAGCAACAGCAACGCCTTGACTGGACTTGCAGCTGTCGGCGAATACTTGGACGGTGGAGGTAGGAGTCTGATGCTGAGGCTTCGGAGCAGGTTGAGATTTGACGACATTGCTCCAGCATGAAGCCGGATAAGGGCTCTCCATGGCTGCAAGAAGTAGAGGGAGAACGAACGCGAAAGCTTGAAAACAGGGGATTGGGGCTTAATACTGACTGAAACCCTAAAACCCTAAAAGAAAAATTGGATCAGTCTCCAATTACGTGGCGAAGGTTTAAACGTCGTCGTATTGAACTTAATATGCAAAGGCAAACTAGGCGAATATTTTTTTATATTATACAAAATAATTCCCGATAATTCACGTTATTTTGGTTGAAATATTGCTCGGGTTAAAGCGTATTATTTAATTAAAAAATAAAAATCTTAAATTTATTATCTTCTTTCAAAATTTTAAATATTTTATAACAAAATTTTTCTTAACATTTTTAAAGTAAACAAACTTAATTTTTAAAAATAAAAATAAAACAAATGCCAAACAATTCTTAACAATGTAAGTATTAATCATAAATTTACAAAAATGGGATGTATTATTATAAATTTTTCATAAATTATTTATAAAAGCATTATTAAACTTTTAACTGTGACCCATCCAACTTTAAAAATTATTTAATAAATTGGGTTCATAATTAACGTTCATAATTTTTTTTAGTTCAACGTCTGATATCTTGAATTGAAGACATATATTTTAGAAATATAGAAACAATTAGAGTAAAAGTATTGGCGCAAATTGATTTCTTCATGGAATTGAAGTCATTTTAAGTTCATATTGTTGCAAGTCAAACTTCAAATTCCATCACAGAACCAATCTATCAAAGAAAACAACAGTGTAAACATAAAACAGCTGCAGCCTGCAGGATGAAACTAGACAATGTATACTTCAGATCATCAAGCAAGGATCAATATGAATTCCATGGATGAGAATCAAGCTTCATTTTTCATATGAATTCCATAGCATGCCAAGGTCAACGTTACCTCCTGAAAGTATAATGCCAATGCGGTTGCAGTCCTTCCATGAAGGGTTTTGCTTGAAACTGTCGGAGAGAACAGCAGCAAGGCCTATTGCTCCACTAGGTTCCACAACAACTTTCAGTATTTCAAGACAAAGTCTCATTGCTTCGACTATCTCCGAGTCCTCTACAGTTATTATATCGTCCACCAAATCTCGTACTATCGGCCTGATCAGAAAATTAGGAATCGAAGTTATCTAGTGGGAAATGAAATCAATAGAAAGGGAAGAGATCTTTTTGAGTTTTTAACCAATCAAGCAAAGTTGAATCATAGGTCTTGCATTTACGTTGTTGAGCATGTTTGGAAATGATTTTGAATTGACCAAAACCAGGTAGACTCAGCTTGAGTAGAGTTGGACGCACTTACAAGAGTCACATATGTCAATCATAGACTCAGCTTTCTTTGCTCAGAGTTACCTAAATCTAATCCAAGAGTCAAACATTTCCTAAGGTTAAAGAAAATTTTAATAACACAAAAGTTATATTACCAGGTAAGGTCACCGAGAAAAGCTCGAAGACCATCGGCTACGGTGTTGGTCTCGGCCAATATTACTATCTCACCAGCTGCTTTTGACAAGGCTGCATCATTAGCTCCCTTAGGTTCTGCTGCAAAAATCCGGATGGCAGGATTGATGGCTTTTGCAGCCACAGAAATTCCAGATATCAAACCACCACCTACATTTTCATGGTGAGGGGTTTCAGAAGGATACAAGTCCAATGGGACTATCAACTAAGAGACTGCATGAAATAAACGATGAAAGGGATAAGAAGTTCCGATCAAACAGACCACTTATGGGGACGATTAAAGTGTCCAATTGTGGGACTTGTTCTAGAAGCTCCAACGAGATAGTACCTTGCCCGCTGCAAGAACAATTCAACATGTCATAACTCATCCATTTCAGTAGTGTAAAACCAAGTTCCTTTGATGAACACTAATGTTGTTACCAAAAAAATGGATCCGAAGTCAACCAACACAATTCATTGAGAGTAAGAGTAAACATAGATTCTGTTTATTTAACTTCATCAGCTTTCTGATATCACAAAATTCATTGCGAGTTGAAAGAAAAAAAATGCAAATGTTAAATTATCACTAAAGCGAAGAGTTTAACAAGTTTTCATAAACATAACATTCTTTGTTCATTTTTTAGAACTCGAGCCAAGAACACAGTAGTACAACCTATACAACAGACTATGTTCAAGCAGGGCTGTAGCTTTCTCAGTTCATTCTTTTAACACTCTTTTGCGTGTAGGATAAGATATTAATCGAACAAAATGAAACAATATTTTACCTTATTATGCGTCCATCATTATATGGATGTATAAGTAACGCACCAGTTTCTTGCATAACCTTCGAGGCGACCATCTCTCTCGACTGTATTGTGGCTTTGCTCCGAATAACCTGACCACCATAACGTATCACATTTTCAACTTTACATTTTGGAGCATTTTCTGGTATAACTATATATGCAGGGATCCCTCGCAGTTTTGCAGCCAAAGACAAAGCTGCAGCATGGTTGCCACTAATTTCAGAGACCATTATCAGTTGAATATTCTCAAAAAACTTCAAACAAGTATATTGTTTTGTCCAGAGCAAACCTGCTGTGTGTCACAACCCCTTTAGCAGCTTGTTCATCATCAAGTGAATAAATAGCATTGCAGGCACCTCTGAATTTAAAGGTTCCACTAAACAGCCATTTGAGATAGCAACACATGTTAGATTTCCACTGGAAACCATGGATTTTCATTTCTAAGAACAAAGTTCTTCCAAACTTATTTGAATGTTTGTGATATTTATTTCAAACAAATAAATAACAAAGACTACCACCATTTGAATCAGAACACTTATAATCTTTCATTTCACCATTGGTTAAGCTACTCACCCCTTCTGGAAACATTCACATTTGAAGAAAAGCTGTTTTCCTGAAGCAGCATTAATACTCTCAGAGGTCAAAACTGGGGTTTGATGGGCGAAAGGTTGGATTCTTATCCTGGCCTCCTGTATGGAGGAAAGATCAGCAGCATACTCTTTCTTCTCGTTTGGACTCTCCACGTTCATTTTACCAGCAAGAATCAGCACAGGGGAAAGAAATTCTGCAACAAGCTCCAATCCTGAGAGCTAAATCAAGACAATTCTCAGTTAATGACGTTTCATTCCATGAATATTTGAACCAGATTGTGCACACCTTAACTATTCGATAAATTACAAACTCATAAAACAAACAAGAGTTTACATAAACTGAAGTGAATCTCGTTAATCAACACAGTTCCAACGCACAGCTACACAAAACTAATCGGTAATCTTCAACCGAACAAACCAAATTGAAGAATGCTGAATTTGAATATCCAAATTTGGAATCCATTTCTTCTTACAAAAAACAAACAGAAATCAATTATAAAACGCATCCCATTTCAGTTCAATCTGGGAATAAGTCCATACGAAATTACCGGGCACTGTTTACATCAAAATTCAGTAATTAGCGCAAGAAATTAAGAAAACATAAATCCAGAAGAGTTAGACGAACTTACTATACTTTTTAGCGCTGACAAAGGATTGCGTTTCTTACGATAGACACCAAACAGTTTATCTGCAGCGTTGAAAATGTGGTTGCTTTTTCTCGCTACCTCCGTCCCGGCTCCCTTCCCCTTTCCTCCCCGAGCCAAGCTCGCTCAAACGCTGCCGTTTCGAGAGATACGCTTGTTGAATAGTATATGCCTTTTTAATAAAGTCGTAATTAATTGTCCAGCTGGATTTTTATTAAGTCATTGGTTTTTTAAAATTAAGATTGTTTACTTGGACGATTAAGAAAATTACAAGTTATTATTGTTTTTCAAATTTGAATAAAAATTCGAAACAATAATAAATAAAAAATGGTAAAAAAACAAATACAAAATTAAAAAATAAATGACTAAAAACTAAATATTTTTACATATACGATTATTTATTTTATTTTTCACTTTTTAAAATTTAACTAAAATTCAAATAGATAATGCGAATTATCTCCGCAGAGAATTTCTTCATATATTTAAAAGAAAAACTATCTTATTTTCATTTTGGTTGAAATATAAAAACACATTATTACAATTTCCCAATTCCCCACAATGGGAACACGTCATCATCATCGGGACTCAGTTCACTCGTTCGCGCGATTCCCAAACCTCGCCGAACTTCCAAACACGCCATTAATTGCATAAAAACTATTCCAAATCCTTGAAAAACCATACAGTTCGGATCAAGCTTTGGCGCTAACAAAATGCTCTGCCACGAATCGGCGTTGGATCTTTCCGGAAGCAGTTTTCGGTAAGAAATCCGTGATGAACACCTTCTTCGGAATCTTGAAGGACGCAAGGTTTTTCTTGCAAAAGCGCAGCACCTCCGCTTCGTCGATCGAGCTTCCCTCCCTCGGAATTACGGCGCAATTGATCTGCCGAAGCATCGGTTAGAATTTAACTAAGTAAATCACCTTGTGGATGGATAGGAATCGACTGATTTAAGGATCAACGGAACGTTTTTCTTACCTCTTCGCCGTATTTTTCGTCGGGGACTCCGAAGGCGACGGCCTGAGCAATGTCGGAGTGAGAAAGAAGCACGGCGTCTACTTCTATTGGAGAGATCTTCTCACCTGAATTAAGACGGTGAAAATCAGATCAGATTAGTAGTTTTATTGACGCTGTTTTCATGAGCAATGGCGATTTGTTTATTGTTTAGAGTTAGAAACTAATTCTGAGTTGAATTTTGTACCTCCACGGTTAATGAGCTCCTTGATCCGGCCGACGAGATGCAAGTATCCGTCGGAGTCGAAGAACCCGATATCGCCGGTGTGGAACCATCCGAATGAGAAGGTGGCCTTGTTAGCCTCTGGATTGTTTTTGTATCCCTTCGTTACATTTGGTCCTCTAATGCACACTTCTCCTTTAACACCTTCCGGTTGTATCACGCCGTTTTCATCCAGAATCGCCATTTCTTGACCGATCGGCTTCCCTACCGATCCGGCTTTGTGCACGCCGTCCTCCGGTAATGGATTGGACGCCATTAGATGCGACGCTTCGGTCATCGCGTAAGACTCGAGAACCGGAGCTCCGAATGATTTTTCCAATCGTTCCAAAATCGATGGTGCAAGCGACGCGCTACAGCTCCGAATAAACCGGAGCTTCGGATACGACGGTTCAGGCTTACTGAAATGGCGGTCTAGTATGATTTGGTGAATCGTAGGGACCGCAGTGTACCACGTCGCGTTATAGGCGACCATATCGGACCAAAACGTTGAAGCAGAGAAGCGTCCGGCAGCTGGAAGAGTCACAGCGGCTCCGGAGATCAGTGATGATAGCAACCCCGCCATTAGTCCGTGAACGTGAAACAACGGAAGAACGAGCACGGTCGAGTCGGACTCAGAGAGTTTGTACACCGATTTGATGTTCTGAACAGAAGCGGCGAGGTTTTGTTGAGTTAGCGGTACGCCCTTCGGCCGGCTGGTGGTGCCGGAGGTGTGAAGGAATAGCGCAGCGTCGGACGGATCGTTAACGATTTCCGACATATTCACCTTCGATTCGTTTGGGGACGGAAAGAAATCGAGAAATGCATCGCCGCTCGCCAGATTCACATTTACTTGAGGAATATTGAGCTTCGATGCGGCGGTTTGTGCCGATGGAATTCCTTCTTTCGATGTAAGGAGTAGTTTCGATTCCGAGTCCGATAAGTAAAACTCGAACTCCTCAGCCGTGTAAGCCGAATTCAATGGTGCAGCGGTGGCTCGGCAGCGGATTATGGCCAAAAACGTGATCACAAACTGCAAGGAAAGACACCTAATCATTAATTTCGTACATAGGAAGGTGATTCACTGATAATAGTCCTTGCTGCCAGTAAATTTTGATTCCGCAGGAATCAAATCAGAGAAGAAAGACGTCAAAATCAAATCAGAAAAGAAAGGAGATGCACAGAATCAGAACAGTAACAGAAAAATGGAGTACATCGCAGACGAACCTCAACAGTATTGGGGAAGGTGAGCGTCACCACATCTCCGGCATTAACACCGGCATCCACCAAGCGAGAAGCGGCATGTTCGATGAGTTCCTGCAACCGCTCATGTGTCAGGTCTAATTTTCCGGCGACTGAGAGAGCCCGGCGGTGAGGAAATTGAGAAGCTGCCTTCTTCAACAAGCCAGTCAAGGTACTGTTCTCCATCTCTCTCTCTCCTTTTCTGTTCCTCCCTGATATTTCAGAATCAAAACGCTTCAAAATTGATGAACGATTGAGGAACAGGGAAATTTGGGATTTTGAAGATGAAAAAAGACAAACACGATAAGAAAGAAAATTGGAAGTTTCTCCAGAAATCAATACACGAATTGAGGGGTGGGTGTTTTTGAAGATCGAGAAAGAACATGAAAGATTAATATAGGATTTTGGAGGTGGGAAAGGTTGGACTCGTGGAGGTTCAAACTGCACACAACCTTTGTGCCACGTATAAGTGGCCAAAACTGAAATTGGCTTCTCAAAATTTCCCTGAAAGTTCCTTTTCCAAAACTTTTTTTTTTTTTTTTAATTTTCTTGTCATTTTAAGAGGAAGAACTTTTGGAGAAAGAATCGTACTTTCCTAATATATTTTTATTCGTATTTTAAAATTTTGAAATCAAGACTGATATTAAAAAGGATAAAACTTTAAAAATACATTATTTCTCTTTCTGTGTCATAAACCTAATTTCTTTTCATGGTTAAACTAAGTATAATCTCATTGAGGCTAAATTGATAAGTATATATATATATATATATATATTCCTAATAAATTTAAAAAAAAATTCAAAAATATCATTGTCATAGTTTTAGGATTTTTTATTTCTTTTAAATACGGTCAGCTTGAGAAATGTGTGTCTCTGTTTTTTAGTTAAATATTAAGAAGAAAGAGATTGACGTGGCTTAGTCAGCATCTAAACTAATAAAAAAAAAATTTGTTCAACAAAAGTGGTCGATATTGATTTTCTAGTTAATAAATTATGCAATTAAGCTATTTTAGTATAAAATTAACAAAGATAAATATAGATTTATTTGATTTTGGAGAACCAAACAAGTAAATATGATAAATAAATAAAAATATCATTTTTAGTCCCTACTAATTTTAGTTTTTACATTTTTATTGTCTACATTTTGTCTCTTTACCTCAGTGTATTTTTAACTTTTTTTAAAAGAAAAAGAAACCTTTAGTTTCTAATAGTCTTTCCTCTTTATCTTTTATAAATATATTTGCGAGGAATCAATCTTTTGATGCATAAAAGAACCATAACGTAAAAAGAGTGAGTCAGGGAAAATTGAATTTCAAAAAATGTGGACGAAAGGGTGCATTGAATTCGTAAAGAAATTGGATGGCCATCCAGATTTGAATAAAGCCATATAATTATTATGGCTTCTCGGCCTCCTGCTTTGTCATTCAGTCACATTCAATAATTGAATTAAGCTCTAGAAACAACTGAAGTTTCCTTTATTGAGTCGTACTTGGTGGATTTCTATTCCACTGGATTCTTCATCTCCATTCTTCTTCTTCTTCTTCTTCTTCTTCGATGTTTTCTCGACATTCAACTCACTTTGAAGCTCTTCCTTCGCTTTCTTTACTCTACTCCGTTTCTTACCCTTTTCGATATTCTCACTAACCTCATCAACATCACTGTCCTGTTCATCTTCTTCTTCAGATAGCTTTAAGCCATTACTGTCCATATAACGAACTTCATGTATCCTCCCCTTCTTCTTGCCCAACTTCTTCTCCTTTTTGTTAGAGACCTTTACAGGAGTAGGACTCTTACCTGCATCTGCTACTTCTTTGTTTGTTTCCTCTTCTTTACCCCTCACGGCCGCCTCAATCTTCATTTTCAACTCCGGCACTGTTTGGTAAAGTGGCAATGCAATAGATTCCAGGACCTTCAAATGAAATGATTGCACATTGCTCCATTTCTTAGGCACAATCTCTGCAATCCCATCAATCGCCGCAATCACATTATTCACGATCTCTTCAACTTCCATTGACGTCTTTGCCACTTTCACCACACTACAAGTCCCTCTCCGCAAATACAACAAAGCCGACGAACAGCTCTTCTCGATCTGTTCTTTCCAATTCTTATGCCTCAAATTCAACGGCACTGGAATTTTTTTCTTCTTGTAAAAGTGCTTCCCCAACAGACTTGGCAGCATTGGAATAACCCGATCATCGGCGAAAAACATATCGTACGAATCGCAGAGCTTCCGTTTAGCTTCAAAGGGGCGGTAATCGGATTTAAGCTTCGACAGCTTGATGACCTTCGAAATCGGGATGTTTTCCGACTGGATTTTCTTCCTGGCGTCGTCTTTGGTAAGATTGGACTTGGTTCTATCGTCGATTATGAGGCAGAGTTCAGACGATTCAGAACGAAGAGGATGGGGAAGAGGGATTTTGTAAGGGTTTGTACGACCTTTTGGAGGGATTTTCTTGAGAGTAACGACGAGGTATAAAAAATCCTCCTGGTCCAGAAGTTGGGGCTTCTCTCGTTTGGAACTTCGCCATTGAAGGAGCGATTCGACGGCTTTCTCCGCCGTTTCCCGACGAACTCTAGAAGAGAGAGTATCAGAATCCGGCGAAGCCATGAGAAGAAGTTGAAGTTGGAGGGGTTTTAGGGTCACGGAAATTTAGGGTTTTATTGAAAGAAAATTAGGGCTCTATATAATTCTATTGGGCTTTTGGTCCATGGGCTTTATTTTGGGCTAATTGGGGAAAGTATTTCCAATATTAGCCCATTCTTTTTTGGGCTTTACAGCTAACCATAAATATTTATTTATAAAACTATCCAAAATATTTACAATAATATATTAAAGGCTGATGGAAGCAGGAAAAAAGTGAGCAAATTACAGGTGTCCCTTAGTATAACATTCTTTTAACACACAAAAACCACGAGATACCACTTTAAAAAAGCTATAATTTTAACGTTGTTTTAGGGTTTATGGGCCAAGGGACAGTCTCAGTTATACAATTTTTATGTGGTGTCCCTTGGTATAACATTCTTTTAACACACAAAAAGCACGAGATACCACTTTAGAAAAGCTATAATTTTAACGTTGTATTAGCGTCTATGGACCAAGGGACAGTCTCAAGTATACAATTTTTATGTGGCATAGGCCTCTCAAAAGTTAATGGAGGCGTGCAAAGGTTTACTTAGGCCAAATGGAGATTGGCCCTCGAGTGCCAAAGGCAAAAGGGAGCTTGATCGCAAGACCCACCCATCGAGCTGGGACGAAAGTCAGCCTTAGTGATCTGATAGTGTCGAGTGAAAGAGTTTTCGCTCAACGGATAAAAGTTACTACAAGGTTAACTAGTTGAGCTTCACCGGAATATTTTTACAATTTTATTTTACTAAAAACGGTTTAAAATAATTATTTTTTTAAAAAAGAATAATAAGAATTTTGTTGCTTAATAAAATAATGAGAATGGGAACGGAGATGGCCCCGTTCCCGCCCCTAGATATCTCTGGTTATGTGTTGATTAAGAAATTTTTTTATAAGAAAAATCATATATTAAAATGATGATATAAATTGGAAGGTGGTAGCTCAGCCAAGTTGCTTAATAAAAAGTTTTTTTTTTAAGAAAAAAAAAACTAATATGTTCAATTAATTAGAATACTATATTTTAAAAAGATAAAGATTCAAAAGATGAAGAGAGATCGAACACAGATGATTGAATATACGGTATGATAATAAATATAAAATATTATTTAATTTATTAAAAAATAATAAAATAATATTGCATATGATGGTGCATAGAACATGGCCACCATCTCCACCACACCCTCACACCAATAATCTTAAAAGTAATTTGCTCAAAACTTTATTAAGATTATTAAATAAGAAGTCACAAACTAAGGACTAAAAAAACCCACTTATAATCCAATTTGGATTATCCAATTAAAGCCGATTAAACCTTTGGTGGAGCACTTTGCAAAAAGCATATTATATAATTAATTTGTACCTAATTTCGATTGAATTAAATATTTTTTTTAATCGTGTAAGAAATATATATATTCCTTAGAAGTACGAGCGTTTAACGCACTATAGCTTAACCCTAGTTAAAAATGAACCATGTGACATAAATAATCAATAACACTAAATATATTAATTGAGTATAGGTCTCTACAAAAATGTGAAAATCAATTGGGTGATAGTGGAGTCTTTCAAAAGGGAATTTGTTTGGATTATTTTTATTTATTTTATTTTTAATTTATTTACGCCAAAAAGAAAAATCACTTTCTTGGAAAAATAGAAGGTGGATTTGTATTAAAGATTCCACTCATGCATTTATTTATTTATTTCTTATTTATTTCATTATCCCTTTGATTATCCAATTTAGCCTTTTATATTCTTATTCTCCATTTAGAAAAATAAATAAATAAAGTTTATTCCAAATAAATATATATATATATTATATATATATATGAACGACAAATTGTTAACTAAAAAGGTTCACTTAACTCTGAGATGCAAATAAAAAGCTCTGCAACTCCAAGAGAAAGTGCTTCAATTATTTCAATCGAATTGCCGCCGCAGTTCTGATCAAAATGCTGAAGTTGCCGCGGCGGAAACGCTCGCCGGCGGCAACGAATCAGGAGAACGCGAATGATGTAGCGAATATTGACAATGACGAGACGGCGGCGGGGGTGAGAAAGGCGGCGGAAGCGAAAGTGGTGCTCTGTGTTTCCGGCATGACTTGCTCTGCTTGCGCTGTTTCAGTAGAGAATTCCATCAAACATCTTCCAGGCATTCTCGATGCTGCTATCGATTTCTTGAACGATAGGGCTCAAATCCGCTATCTCCCCAATCTCATCGATGTAAGCCGATCTCTCTTTTACAGTTTTTGATCTTTGATTCTTAATCTATTAGAATACCTTTTTTCTAGGGTTTATCAACTTCGCTTTGAGATTACTGCATCCTTTTCGATTTTCGTCATTGATTTGAGGTTGAAACTGAGGCTAATTCCAGAAAAAAAAATCGAAAAATATAATTGTTAGACTCATCTAACTAAATTAATTTTGGGATTAATCAATGAGTTTTTATTATAATGAGTTTATAATAATAAATACTGTCGCTATTAATACTCGCCATTTTTTTTTTTTGAAGTCACTAATCTTCAAAGGGGCAATACTACCATTATAAATTTGATTTAAGTTTAAAAATTATTTTAAAAAATATGTAAAAAAAATTTATTTGCTAAAAATATATATCTTTATAAAATATTCTTTAATTTTACTATTTGTTTATGGATGCCACTCTTCTTTTAAAAGACAAATATTAATTTTTGACTTTTTACCAACATTTTAAAAGTTCTCTTTGTACCATAATTTCTTTAAAATATTTTAATAAATACGATTTAATGTGACATAAAACAACATTAAATTTGAATAACAAACTATTTTTTATTTAAAGATAGCTTTAAAATTTTACTAAAAAGATACATATTTTTTAATAATTTAACATTTTTTTTTCTTATAAATAGTTTTAGATTAACGTGAGTCATTTTGATCTGGAATTTTTAGTTAGAATTAAGAAATTGTAAATTATAAATATTATGTTTTTTCCCACGTGTGCTTAGGTTTTGACATAAAAAATGTTTGCTCATTTAAAATAATAGTTTTAAAATTACCTATTTTATTATTCAAATTCAATAGTGCCATGGAGTCCGACTTTTGATTGGTCAAATCAAAGGATACATTTAGACTTTTAAAAACAATATATTCTAAAAGTTTTATTTTAGGATTAATTAATACAATAAATTATTAGTTCATAAATATTCGGACTTCAACTTTTATATATATATATATAGGTTGGATGATTCCACGATAAACTCTAATTTTATTAGATAGAGAGTAATAGCTTTCAAATCCTCAAAATTATAAAATTTAATTAAAACTACTCTTTTTTTTTTTTTTATTTATTTAAATACAAGTTCTCTTCGGAGAAAAATAGAAAATCAGAAGGAAAAAAGAAAAAATAATAACTTGTGGAAAAGATAATGTTCTAACAAAATTGATTTTCAAAGTATCCTTAAAAAAAAAAATTAATAATTTAAAGTATGTATAGTATAGTTTATTTAGTAATTTTAGATGATTAAATGTGTGTGTGTGTTTTTTTAAAAAAACTTAATAAATTAAAAATGTTTAGAAAATTGGAAATTTATTGTATGTATTTGTAACAGGAAGATTCAATAGTTAAAGCAATTGAAAATGCTGGATTTCAAGCTACGATATCGAAGGACAGCGCCGATCATCGATCGAGAGAAGTATGTCGAATCCGAGTAAATGGGATGGGCTGCAATTCTTGCTCTTCCATGGTAGAATCAGTTTTGGAAGAAATGTACGGCGTCCAAAAGACTCACATTGCTCTCTTCAATGGGGAAGCAGAAGTTCACTATGATCCAAAGGTCGTTAACTCCACTCAGTTCATTGTAGCCATACAAGACATTGGCTTTGATGCCTTACTTATAACCATTGGCGAACACATTAGCAAGATTGAGCTCAAGATCGATGGCATGCATAACGAAAACTCATCGACAAAAGTTAAAGAATCGCTTGAATCGGTTGTCGGAATCGAAGATGTCGATATCGACATGGGATTGACCAAAGTTACCATATCTTACAAGCCTGATATAACAGGACCAAGAACTTTCATTGAAGTGATCGAGTCGATCAAATCCGAGCATTTCAAGGCCACGATATATCCCGCAAATGTGGGTCGAGAAAATCGTAAGGAGAAAGAAATTAAACAGCACTATAAGTACTTCTTATGGAGCTCAGCTCTTTCTGTTCCTGTTTTCTTAACATCCATGGTGTTTATGTATATACCTGGAATTAAGCAGATTTTGGATATCAAAGTAGTCAATATGATGAATGTTGGACATCTTATCAAGTGGAATTTGTCCACTCCTGTCCAGTTCATCATAGGTTCAAGATTCTACATTGGATCATACAAAGCATTGCGCCGTGGTTCTGCCAACATGGATGTATTGATCACTTTGGGAACCAATGCAGCTTATTTCTATTCTGTTTATATTGTTCTAAGAGCAGCTACTTCCCCTGCTTTTGATGGGACAGATTTCTTTGAGACTAGCTCAATGCTGATCACTTTCATTCTACTTGGTAAGTATTTGGAGATTCTAGCTAAAGGAAAGACCTCTGAGGCCATTGCTAAGCTTAAGCACTTGGCGCCCGAGACCGCGACGCTCTTGACTCTAGATGGCCATGGAAATGTGATAAGTGAAGTAGAAATCAGCGGTGAGCTGATTCAGAAGAATGATGTTATTAAGATTACGCCTGGTGCGAAGGTAGCTTCCGATGGCCTCGTCGTCTGGGGCGAAAGTCATGTCAATGAGAGTATGATTACCGGAGAAGCGAAACCGGTAGCGAAAAGGACAGGCGACAAGGTAATAGGAGGAACTATGAATGAGAATGGAGTGTTGCATATTAAGGCAACACATGTTGGATCAGAGAGTTCACTAGCGCAAATCGTTCAACTCGTCGAATCGTCTCAGTTGGCGAAAGCTCCTATTCAGAAACTTGCAGACCATATCTCCAAGTATTTTGTGCCTCTGGTTGGTGCTATCACTCCAATTTGTCTACTGTTTTTTGTTTTGTGCTTGATTCTTTCATGTCAACAGTGTTTTCTGTACACTTTTGCAGGTAATTTTGCTTTCTTTTCTCACTTGGATTGCCTGGTTTTTAGCTGGAAAGTTGCATTTGTATCCTAAGTCCTGGTTGCCTTCTTCAATGGACCGTTTTGAACTAGCTCTCCAATTTGGGATTTCTGTTATGGTCATAGCTTGCCCTTGTGCTCTTGGCCTTGCCACCCCGACCGCTGTGATGGTCGGGACCGGTGTCGGTGCATCTCAAGGTGTACTAATCAAAGGCGGCCAAGCTTTAGAATTTGCACATAAGGTACATACTTATACACATCGACATCAAGAACACACCCTTTCTTCAAATCTTCCCTATAATTCTTTTGGTCTAATGATGCCTTGCAGGCGAGCTGCATTGTGTTTGATAAGACAGGAACGCTAACAGTTGGAAAGCCAGTGGTTGTAAATGTAAAACTAATGGACACTATAGTACTTGAAGAACTGCTTGAACTCACTGCTGCTACTGAGGTTTGGTTTTGCAATCGAAAAAAGCTTCAAATTTTCAAAACTTTCGTAACTCAAATGGTTTTTTCCTTGATGTTTGTTGATCAGGTGAACAGTGAGCATCCAATAGCCAAGGCCATTGTTGAATATGCTAAGCAATTCAAGGAAGATAACCCCATTTGGCCTGAAGCTCAAGAGTTCATATCCATTCCTGGACATGGAGTGGAAGCCATTGTAAGGAACAAGAAAGTTGTGGTTGGAAACAAGAGCTTGATGATGAACAATGGCATAGAAATTCTTGGGGAAACGGAGAGCTTCCTTGTCGACGCCGAAGGTATGGCGAAAACCGCGGTTTTGGTGGCCGTAGATCGAACGGTGTCGGGAGTTATCGTGGTGTCGGATCCATTGAAACCAGGAGCCAAAGAGGTGATCTCCATTCTCAAATCTATGGAAGTAAAGAGCATAATGGTAACAGGTGACAATTGGGGGACTGCAAATTCCATTGCCAAAGAAGTTGGAATAGAAACGGTCATTGCAGAGGCCAAGCCTCAGCAGAAAGCAGAGGAAGTGAAGAATCTTCAGACGGCCGGGCACACGGTGGCAATGGTGGGAGACGGGATCAATGACTCGCCCGCCCTTGTAGCAGCCGATGTCGGGATGGCTATCGGAGCTGGCACAGACATCGCCATTGAGGCAGCAGACATTGTTCTTATGAAAAATGACTTACAAGATGTTATAACTGCCATTCATCTCTCAAGGAGAACTTTTGCTAGAATTCGCCTCAATTACATTTGGGCTCTTGGTTATAATCTTCTTGCCATTCCGATTGCCGCAGGCGTCTTGTTCCCTTCAACACGGTTTCGGCTACCACCGTGGATCGCCGGAGCTGCCATGGCTGCTTCTTCTGTTAGTGTGGTATGCAGTTCTTTGATGTTGAAGAAGTACAAGAGACCAAAGAAGCTTGATGAAATTGATATTCAAATGAAAGGAATAATAGTTCAATGATGTGTACATTAGATTATAAAACGAATATTATCAAGATATTTATGAAATAAGAGTTTGAAATTCTCGTTGAACTACAATTATTTCAGACAGCCACGTGGTAAGTCTATATTGTCACACGTGTCAAACGCGTCTCCTCGAAATTTGAACAGACTTGTGGGCCCAGCTACCGCTATATATAATCAGGCCCATTTGTTCATCTACTCCCATCCTTCATGTTCGCTGTTTCAATACGCTATCTTCTCAGAAGAAAATTCTCCAGCGTTCGATCTGTATCTTCATCTTTGGTTTTCGATAACCGAATCTTGCCCGATTCGAAGCAAACCCTATTGCATAGTACGCAGTGTTCTTCCGTAACTCATTTCGTTTCACCGATTAATTCAGGTTCTTCGCGTCTCGGCTTGTTTTCGATTCGGTTGGATCATACTATGGCTACCCCGTCTCAGACTTCAGTCCATGACTTCACCGTTAAGGTTGGATTTCTTGTGCCTTTTTCATGTTTCCATGAGTTTGTTTTGTTTGTAGATCGGGTCTGATTGTGAATCATGAAAATTTGGAATTTAGGGGAAATGGTTTTGTTCTTTCTTGATTTTTGTTGCTTCTAAAAACTTGTTGTAGATAATCAAATCATATCAGAGAGCACTCTTAATCAAACTTTCGAATAATTTCATCTTCTTTTGAGAGAATTGTGTATGCAGCTTGTTATGAGAAAGTGTTCATTTCTGTTTATGATTTTCCGTTGGATCTATAATTAAGTTGGGGGGACTCCGTTTCTTTTTTATTTGCTTCCTGGGCATGTTATTAATTTGTTGGCTTGTTTTAAAACTCGTATGAACTGCTTGTGAATGGCGCCATATTTCACTTCAACGGTATCTGCCTCTGTTTACAGGATGCTAGAGGAAATGATGTTGACCTCAGCATTTACAAAGGAAAGGTCCTCTTGATTGTCAATGTTGCCTCCCAATGGTAATGTACACAGTTATTTCTAACTCCTCTGCCGCAAAAACATTAGAGATCTTACAATTTTGTTTTGAAAGTTTTTGAGCTGATCTTCCCTCTTTGATAATGAAATTTCGTTCAAGTATCTGAGTTGATGATATTGTGTCATGTCGGTTGCCTGCTATTGTTGATAACTAAAGCTATCTGTGTAGTCAAAATGGTAGAATTATGACTTCGAGTGCATTTATAATCATGAGAATGAACAGTCCGTTATATTTTCGAAGAGAAAAATCTTTCGAACCTTGATTTATAGACTTATGTCCATGTTAGATTCCAATAATTGAACTATTATTTTATAGTTTAGGAAATTCATAATAGTCAGTTTTTGATTCACTGCAGTGGCTTGACTAATTCGAATTACACTGAACTGAGTCAACTATATGAAAAATATAAGGGCCAAGGTTTGTTCTAAACATCCTTCTATTCTTCTTCTCTTCAGCTTCGATTTATCCATCAAGTTCATATTTATTATTTACACTGGTTTCCTATTTACAGGACTTGAGATTCTTGCATTTCCCTGCAACCAATTTGGAAGCCAGGAGCCAGGAACCAACGAAGAGATTGTGCAGTTTGCTTGCACTCGTTTTAAGGCTGAGTACCCTATTTTTGACAAGGTTAGATTTATGCTGAAGGCTTGCTTATTTATTATACACTTTTGAGACTATAGAACTGCCAAGCTAAGCATTTCCAAGCTCAATTTCTTGTTCGTATAGGTGGACGTGAATGGGAACGATGCCTCTCCTCTGTACAAGTTCTTGAAGTCGAGCAAAGGTGGGCTCTTCGGAGATGCCGTTAAGTGGAACTTCTCCAAGTTCTTGGTGGACAAAGATGGGCACGTAGTTGATCGTTACGCCCCAACAACTTCCCCCCTCAGCATTGAGGTAAATCCAATAGTTCTTCGTAAATCGAACTTTATACACACACACACATATATATCTGTTAATCGTAAATCTAAACGTGAGCGTAACTTACCTGGTTATGGTTAAAAGGGTTAAAAGGGGGAGGTCATCCCTAGCCCGAATAATTGCAATTAGTTAACTGGGGGATGCCTGTGTTTTTGCAGAAGGATGTGAAGAAGCTGTTGGGAGTTGCTTAGAAAACATCTGAAGGCTGCCTTTCTTTGTGTTTTGATTAGAAACTTGAATAAAGCTGCTGTGTATTTGCTCTGATTTGTATGTGCTTTCTGAATCTTCCATGTACTTAGGAGACTGTAAGTTTAGAATTATGTAATAAGTTTCTTAAGCTTTAATGTAACTGTTCACACTTTGTCTGGGGACATTGATCCCAACCAAACGTAGCTGTTCTTATGTTGGGTTTTGCTCAAATGTAATTTCTTCGAAAAAGAAAATTGATTACATTAATATCACCACAGGATTTATCTAAAACTGCTTTATCCTGAATATTTTATTTATTTATATCGTTGTTTACAGGAAACCTCTCTTTGAAGGCTAAAATTGTTCTAAAATGAATTTTATTACATTTAATTACATGCTTTCTTGTTCTAATTTGTATTTATTACATTTAATTATAGGAAGATCAAAATTTGTTTGAAATAATTTGTGACGAGCTAAAAAAATTGATGAAGATGCATACATAAGTGAGGCTAAAATGGTAATCTACTTTTTTTTCTTTTTTTTTTTTTTTAATTTGGAAAACTTGGTGAGACATTTATTATAAAAGGCAAGCTTCATGCTTGCTATTAGTTTATATAAACTGCTAAATAATATATAATGGTCCATTCTTCTAATTAATAACACTAAACTCATAATTAAAAATTCAGTGATAAGAAATTCAATTTTAAAAATTAGTACTTAATAGATTAAATCACGAAAGAGAAGCCTATTTTATTTTATTTTTTCTTTTTAATTTTAAATTGCCGTTGACTAGAAAAAAAAAAAAAAAAAAAAAAAACTAAATTATTAGTTACTGAAATTTCACGACGAAACGTTTTTTTAATCTTGATTCTAATTTAAATTCCAGCTTATTATCAGTTCACTCTTCTATAATCGCTAATTCTTTGCTTTCGATTGAAGCTCTGCTCTGTTGCTCGCTGAACTTCATCTTTGATCTTACCATGGCGACCCAACCATCAAACCACCCAGAATCCATTTACGACTTCACTCTAAAGGTTTATTCTCGTTCTTTAACTCCATATTCATGTGTTTTCCACCGTTTTCCCCTCACTTTCTGTGTTGTTTATTGTTGCAATACTCGGAGAGAAGTTCACTTGTATTTCCATACGAATCGGTGGCCATTCAAATTAACGGTTGTCTAAACTTATCTGCTGCAAAAAACAATGGTGTGTTTTGAGTTTCTTTGCGAGCTTATACTTATAAACGACGGGTGGGCATTAGGGACTTATTTTACCCCAATTCTGATGTTTCATTAGATTAACGAAGAATTGAGGGATCGAGGCGGAATTTGGCAAAACGCAGGTCTCAATTTTTGGATCTTCGTTCTGTGTGAATGAAAGGGGATCTTGTTAACACTGAATGCATCTTTTTGAGTCGGATGTTATATTGTTTGTGTTCTATTCATAGGAAACACTTTACTGCTTTTGATATTGGCATGAATTTTAGAAACATTTTTGTGGTCTTGTTTGCAGGATGCACAGGGAAATGATGTCAACCTTAGCATATACAAGGGTAAAGTTCTACTCATTGTCAATGTTGCTTCGAAATGGTACTCTCTATCTCTTTTACTTTCGATATCTGCATCTGTTTGAGCTTTAGTTTGAAGCAATTATTTTGGTCTTACATTGGGTATTACAAAGAGTGAAATAGTTTAACATCAATGTGGGTTGGTCCTATTATTTTCCACTTTTCCCTGAGAGTGTTCTTGATTTTCTTTTTTGTCCATCGCAACAGTGGGATGACAAATTCGAATTATGTGGAGTTGAACCAACTATACGAGAAATACAAGGAACAAGGTTTGCCCTTATCACCCTCTTCTTGAATTATCGCTTACTTAGTATGTTCTTGTTGCTTTTGTTTTTGTCTTGTTTCTTCCATTGAATAATTCTCTCTGTTGATTCCTGTTCCCTTTCTTATTATTGTTTAGCTGAGAAGAAAACTGCTAAGTGTGGGTATACAATCTCTATTATAACTCTCTTTCCATCCAAGCCCACCCACTTCTAGCTATCGTCATCGTTGGGCTTTCCCTTTTGGGTTTCTCCTCAAAGTTTTAAAAATGCGTCTACTAGGGAGAGGTTTCCACACTCTTATAAAGAGTGTTTCGTTCTCCTCACCAATCGATGTGAGATCTCACAGCTACCAACAGGTTTCTACACCCTTATAAAGAATGTTTCGTTCTACTCCCCAACCGAAGCGGGATCTCACATCTATCAACACAATACATTACTACCTTGTCTTTAGCATTGGAATAGCCGGCCTTATGTGGAGTATTTCCATTTCTAGCAAGAATGATGGCTTCTAGTACCGTAGCTTAGTTTTCTTTTTGGTTGAGGATATTGCAGGTTTGGAAATACTGGCATTTCCATGTAATCAGTTTGGCGATGAGGAACCGGGAAGTAACGATGAGATCAAAGATTTTGTTTGCAGTCGTTTCAAATCAGAATTTCCAATTTTTGACAAGGCAAGTAGAATATTACTGGGAAAACTTTATGTTACTATAGAAGTATGAATTCATCCTATTTTCTTTGTATTAAGATTGAAGTAAATGGAAACAATTCTGCTCCACTCTACAAGTTCTTGAAATTGGGCAAATGGGGGATATTTGGGGACGATATTCAGTGGAATTTTGCCAAGTTTCTGATCAACAAGGATGGCCAAGTAGTTGATCGTTATTACCCCACAACATCACCTCTCAGCATTGAGGTAAACCTGCAACTGACAACTTTCTTTACACCAGAAAGTCTTAGATTTTATCAGACAGGAGAATCGTTATAACTTTAGCCTCTTGATTCTGCTGCAGCATGATGTCAAGAAGCTGTTGGGTATCTCATGAGCTCTGAATCATACCACTTGCACGTCCGTATCATCAGAATGCTGCTCGATGGAGATGATCTGTGATATCTGTAATTGTCCCCGTGGATACTTATAACAGGTCTTGCGCTTGTTACTATATTGATGATTTTTTAGTTAAAAACTTTTAGTGGATGGTTGGAATGTCTGCAATTCCTGGAGTTATGAATGTATTATTGAAGATCATACATGATTGACCTGTAGTCTATAGAATTTCAGATAAACATATTGAATGGATCAAAGTACAAATAGTTGAACAAAATTCTAATTCCTATTCCATTCCAGTTTTGTTTCTAACCAACACCACCATATAATTCTTTTCATCTCATGTAGAAGCCCTTGAAAAGGAAATTGAAATGAGAAACTCTGATATATAACTTAAAATTACATCTTAGAACACAACATAATATCCTATGGCTCCCTAAAATTTTCATTAGATGGAAAATTTCTGCTCAAAGACAAACATGCTTCTTCCTCCTGCTACAGCTGCCCTGAAATATTACCCTCCAAAAACCAGAAACTCTGTCCAATAAAATCAACATGGACTTGAGAAACTCGAAATGAAGCCTCTTGCTACATACCATGTTAGCATCGAATCTGTTAACCGCTGCGAAAAGAAGTCTTGACACAAAGAAAGGTAGTCCTCACAAGGTTTGGTTCATTTACAACAACACATATGTACAAAATGAACATGTGTCTGTTGCAATATTTCATCATCCTCGTGTCAAATCGATTCCAGTATGAGGGTTTCTCACATCGACTGAACGGGAACCAGGCCAAACACCAATTGCAGAAGGATTGTATGTTTGAGCAGATGGGGCACTCGACCGCGAAACCAAATTATCATGATGATCATTTTCGGAACCGTCATTGCTTCTCAGACCAGCGACCTGCTTATTCTTGATCTTTGCGCCATAAACAAAGCTACAAGCAACTACCTGCAAGAGAATAAGTTTGATAATTAAATAACTTGAGGCTTCACCATGATATGGATTTTGCAGATGCAAATTATTATCGAGCCAAAATTATAGCAACATGTAATCTAGTTCACTGGCAAGGCCATGTTGCCTTGATAATTCAATGGGATGTACCTGAACAGGGCCAGCCGCTGTAAGAACGGCAACTCCACCACCAATGACATGACCATCAGGACTAGAGAGGGAAACACTAATACCGCCCATCCTATTTCGAGGACCACCATCTTCAGCCACCAAGTAAGAACCAGACAAACACAATATCTGGAAATGACCCTGCAAAACCCAAACATGTTTCATAACAAGGAAAATAACATTGTTGCATCATCTTAATTATTGTTAGCTAAGGACACTGAGAGGAACATCACCGTTAGCCAACAAAAGGGCAGTTATTGTTTACATTGAAATAATACAATAATCACTCCCACTCTGGCACCAAGAAGTAATCACTCCACGTAACGAAACAAACGACATAGACGACCAACTCAATGAATCCACCACTATGCCAGAACCTGCTAAAACTAAATTGAGTATGAATTCACCACATTCCCTTATTTTAAGGTTGTTCACTATTCGACCACAGTCATAGACCAACGTGATTGTACTTGTGTCGAAGTTGGAAAATGGCAAACTAATGGAATCACTGAGAGCAAAATTCAGATCCTATGCTTATGGTCAAGGCAGAAATTGCAATTACTCTACATTATTCTATGGGAGTTTTTTGGTCTTACCATAGTTGATGACAATATTCCTATTGATGATAGAAAAGAATTTCGAAGTTGGAAACAAAATGAGACAAAAAGGCAGTCCAAAGTCATCTTTTTGTAAGAAAGAACGTTCATTAATAGGGACGAAACATCGTACGTACAAAAGAATAACTGAATAAGTAATCTCATATGCAGACCTACGAAAAAATTGCAAGATTCATATATTGTTGAATAGAGGCATCAAAGTGATGTGATTTATCGTGACAAGAATAAGTAAAATCAAATAAAATAATTCTTAAACCTCATATGTGACGCTCACGCCAGTAGATGCAGGCTGGCGTACTGTAACAGAAGAAACGGTACCATTGCCCGACATGATGCAAACAGCCCTTGGCCTCTGCTGTGCAAACGACAATACTTTATCTACAATATCCTGGAAACAAAGATACTAATTCAAATGCTTAATCTCCCTCCTTTTTTCTTGGAATGGGGAGTGGGAGAGAATGGAAATTTAACATGCTGTGTTCCCCCCGCCTGTAAATATTGCAACCTAAAGAAACCAAGGTAATGAAAATAAGGTTTTCCTTTTACATGGTAGAATAACGCTACTTTCATGGCTGCATATTTCAAGGAACTCAAATTAATATCTAATAAAGAAACACTTGAAGCTACGCCATTACGGATCAGATCTCATTCCACAGGATCATATTTACAAAAGAACTGTTCTGAAAAGGGCTATAACTGAACACATAATGCACTTGAAATTAGTTGTTTTAAGTATTAAAAGGTTATAGCATACTTCTCCAGCTCCAACGTGAATGACATGTGGAGCAAAAGCTAGTCCAGCTGAATTGTTCATCCACTCACCTGAGAGAAAACGAGTAGGAGTGAATAATCATGGCCATAGCCTTCTCTGGCATGTTTAAGAGACAATATAAACCTTTTGGCAAACTAAAAATGAACAGTACATGATGACTTGCATTAAACAATGGCCAAGCTGGACAGGTAGAATGCTTAACTAGTTGAACAAGCATGCACATTGAAACTAAATCAGAAAACGAAGTAAAATCTACCAAGGAGAGCTAATTGTTGTTTCCTTCCAGAGCCAGGCGGCCGCCCTCTTCGTTGTTTCGGGGTTGACGAATTCGACCCTGGAGTGAGCTTAGAACCAGCAGACATGGGAGACAGACCCAATGAGACCGGCCCATCCGGAGCATATTTCCTTGGCCTCCCCCTCTTTTTCTTCACAGGTTCACCAGAGTTCACTCCAGGTGAGACATTCATACTAATCCCACGAAGGTAATTGGAATGAGATGGCTCAACAGCATACGTTGGTCCAACTGAGTTGCCTCTGAGATTTGAGTGAGACAAAACACCCTGGTTAGCCATTGGCCGGAATACAGGGGAGGCATGTGATCCAGCCGATGGCAGCCCTGATCCAGAGCCACCAACCCCTCCCCCCCTATGTATGTAGTAAGAAGCAGAGCCACCAGACAATGCCATGCCGTCCCTCCCATCCATTCATTTACTTGCAAGAATAGCCTCACAGAAGAAAGACTCGTGTGGTCTTAACAACAAAGAAAATGCTTTTCTACAGAAGTGTTTTCAGAAAACTTCAAACCCAAATCTCTAACCATAACAGAAGAGGGCAGAATTCCAGTCGAAAAGTTCAAGCAACGGGTATTCACTGACCAAGAGCTGTTTTTACAAGACACCCACGTTAGAACTTGAAGAGAACATGTGAAGAAAAATGTCGAAATTTTCAAACTCCCAGAACACTACAAAATGAATCAAAGAAAAGGGTTTAGCAGGGGTTTAACAAGAGAAGGAGAAGTGCAAGACAGACCCAGAACGAGAAATTTATGTTAAGAGAGACAGAAAAAAAAAAAAAAAAAAAAAAGGAGAGAGAAGAAAGAAAAGGTATTAAAAGAAAACGAAGATGAAACCGAAATGGGTTTGAGAAGAAGGAAGAGAAGCAGTGGGTCTGAGAGGAGAAATGCAGAGAAATGAGGAGGAAGAGAAGAGAAGGGAGGAAAAGGAGAGGAAGTTGAAGAAGGAGAAGAGAGTGAAAGGGAGATCAAACCCTAGATTTGATTGAAAATCTAGGGTTTTGAGAAGGAAAATGCAGGAGGGTGGTGGAAAAGAAGATAGGGGAAAGGGGGAAAGAAAGAAAAGACAAAGGGAGGGGGAGGGTGGAAGGGAATGGAATGGAAAATGAATAGAAAAAGATGAGCTTTTGAATTAAAGTTGAAAGTGGGGATGTGTACAACAGTACAAGTGCGAGTGACCTGTGTGAGTATGAACTCAGACCGAGACCAAGAGTAAAGCCATTGTCTTTATCACTTTTCTTTTTTCTTTTTTTCTTTTTTTTTTTCTTTTCCTTTTAATTAATAATTAGTATTCTAAATATTAGTATTATTTATTATTTATTATTAGAAAATAGTCAAATGAGAAAAAAAAAAGAAAAAAAGTGTAATGGGAGAGACAGAGCGGGGCCCACGCCCACCAAATTACCAAATCCGTCCGCTGTACTTATCGAAGTGTTTCTTTTTTTCTTTTTGCTTTTTTTTCTTTTTTTCTTTTCATTTTTTGGTTTGGGGTTTTTTTTCTTATAAAAGGAAAAAAAAAAAAAAAAAAAGGCTAAACACAGCTATGTTGCCTTGAATGGCTATTTTTTTTTTTTCTGGTAATGTTAAAATAAATGTTTTTTTTAAATAAAAAAAAATGGATTAGCTTTAGAGTGGGTTTTGTTATGGTATGCCCATTCTCATGAAAATTAAGTTTCAACTTTTGATGGAAAAAAAAGGGGGGGAAGGAGAAAGCAAGTATTGGTTTATCCTTAAAAAAAAAAAAAAATTATTTTTTTAAAAAACTATTTTTGTTTCATTAGTATAATAAAGGAAGATTTTTTAAAAAAATAAAAAAATATTTTTACATATATTTAAAACATGGAGAATAACATTTAATATTATATTGCAAAGTTCCTATGGTACTTGAACTCTTTTTTTATATTATTATTTTTTTTTTTCATAACTCACTATTTCAATATTAATCTTAGTCCAAGTCAACTAACACTTAAAAGTGAAAATACTTTTTTTAATGTGGTTAAAATGTAACTTTATTATATATTTAGAGACCTATTGAATGAAATTAAAATGGCAACTTCTTTTTATATCATACCCATGTAAGCCATTTTTAACATATAAGAGCATGATTCGTAAAATAAATTATATGGTCTCATTGGTGTCATTACTAATCATTTAGAAATAACAACCACTTGATCTCAATTTTCATAAGCAAAATTCCAAAAAAGAGGAGCCTAATAAGCTGACTACTCGAGTTTGAGCACATGATTCACTCACTTGAGTTAAAATTAACGACGATATCGAAGAATTACCAGCGACCCTTTTTGGACTGAGCTTTAAAACACATCGTTCCATCTAAGAGTATCAAGTGTCTGCATGTAATGATCAAATTTAGTTTCTATTTGGTCTTTTGAAGTTTCAAATGAATAAATTTTTAAAGAAAGCAACTTCATTGACAAACCAGTACCTGATCATCCCATATGACCCATCTTACTTTACCTCTCGTCCAATTCTGGTCTTCTGTTAAAATGATCCAAGTAACCCTGAGATATACCACCTTATTGTTAATGAACTGAAGTTTTAATTGCTGTTTTAGATGCAATTCTACGAACCTTGGCAAGATAATATAAAGCTAAAACTAAAGAGGAAAACAAAATTGTAAATTATTACCTGAAGTATTCCAACCGCAGCAAACTTGTCAATTATTGTCTTTGACAAAATAGGAGGCAGTTTCAATGGCTTTATCAGAAGTTCCACATTCTGTGTACATAGATCAAAATCACAAATTCAATATTCAATGTTGAATGAAATGCAATGCAGCAGCCTATTCACAAGTCAATACCACGATTCAAAAAGGTGAGCTAGACAATTCAAACATAATCACAATTGTATGAACGAGTCATTGAATTGACAGAGACATTGAAAGGCATGTCACATAAGTCACAAGACTAACAGGAAGGGCTGCCCACACTAATAACATCGACAACCTTTGATGTAAAGCACTCATCCCAAAAAGTATATTTTACGCCTTCAAGTTTTCCAGTTTTACAAAGGTCATCGATGAAGATCTTCACTTGCACAGCCTGTATACAGAATAATGTAATGTCAAGTAGAGATGAGAGTCAATAATGATGAATTTCAAGAGATAAAGAACACACATCGGCGTTGCGTCGTTGTCCATCGAAAGGGTATCCAACAATGAACCCTGACAGAGAAAGTTCAGAGATCTGCAAACACAAACCAGAAGCACGTGTAAATATACACATCATGGAAATGACTGAAGGTTTCGAGAAAGAATAGCATTGGCAATTCAACATCAGATAATCAAAGATTAAAAGTAACTATGCTGCACAGCAACACATCATGGAAGAAGAGGGGAAAAAATGGTGAAGTTAGAGCTAATGTATTACATTTTAAACCTAGAGCTATCTACCTAAATTCATAGTGGCGTCATAAGAAATCCCATTTGGACATTAGAAGGTACTCACTGAAGATCGAGTAAATTAAAGTCCTCCCTACAGAATTTTGTGGCACCACCCTTCAATCATTGCTTATCATTTATCATTGCATCAAATAACATTTAACAAATATTCATAACTAAACAGAGTAAAATATCTCACCAATCTCTGAAAATCCAGAGCCATCAGATGCATATTGGTTTTCTTCCTGAACAAAACACTGCAGAACCGAAGAACAACTAATACTGGTCACGTTATTTGAACTTCAACTTAAATCCCATTACTACAAATCTCTCAGACACAATACTATGAACAGAGAAACAACATACCTAAGAGGCGATGCGATTTTATTATCTGGATCAGAGACGGCCAAACCAACATACTTATCACCAACATCTAAACCCAAGAAACGGCCACGTTCAAGGGCATTTCCCTTTAACAAATCGCGAAATAAATTCAACGGCCTCACGTACTTCATCTTGTACTACTATCTAGCTCAGTGAACCATGTTATCCAGCAGCTGATTCGCACAAATCATTTTCAGCGTCGCGCCTTCGAAGCCCAAAACGTACAATTAGTGCAGCAATTAACTCAGCACATTCAAAGTCATTCGCAATCCATTGTAACTTGAAAACTCAATAGAATTCATAGATTCCAACTATTACCTGCAAAGTTGAAGATGAAGCACAGTGAATTAAGCCCGAATTCGGAACCTCGATGCAATTAATTTTCGGAAGAAATTCCAATTTGATCTGGTCAGGACCATACCTTTGGAAAACCCTTGAAATTTCATTAGGCTCATTATCAAGCCCTTGGCCCAAATATTTTGATGTATATTTAAATAATTTAAAAATTACTTATTATCATTTGTCTATTAAAATTAATTTTTGTTCAAATTTGATAAATTAATGAGGGACAATTTTTATTTACAAAAAAAAAAAACACATTAATATGTTTCCAAAATTTATAATTAGACGCTAATAAATAATAATGGATTAAAATGTATATATTATTAATGAAAAATCTACCGAAATACCCATTATTTATTTACCTTAATCAATTGACGTAACTACGTTAATTGAACTCGTAAATAAAATATAGTTTGAGTTTAAGAAAGTGTGCGCTCCATCTATATACTTCCAAAAAAAAAGTTACATTTTAATTTTATAAATCAAATTTAATTTTATAATTTATTTAATAAATTTAATGCTACATTTTATATTTTATTTGAGATGATTTTTAAGTGGTTTAAAAATATTAAAAAGTGAAAAAAAAAAAAACATAAGCCCTCTTGGACTAAGGGCAGGACCTCACGTTGTGATTTATGAGTGAAGCTTCTTATTATTATTATTTGGTAATTAAGAATTTGATCGAGAGGAACCCACGTTGCGAGGGTCAAACATCAGGACCATTGAAAAAAAAAAGAGACTCGGGTCTATTAAATTACATTAGGTGAATTCAAACTTTTAATCTATTTAGACGAGAGCATATAACTTAATAAATTGAACTATGATTGACTTTGTAAAATTTGTTTTTTTCGAATGATCACTAGATTTATATCCCTCTAATTAAACCAAATCAATCTAATTTACGCTAATTATTTTACGAAATACAGCTTGCAATTTACCATTTATTATAAAAAAAATGTGCATTTTAATTTAAAGACATATTTGTTATTGTGGAGGCTTTAGAAATACGGAAACAGAGAGAAAAAAACATTATTATTATTTATTAATGAATAAAAAGCAGGAAAAAGGGGTGATGTCGGTGGAAATAGGTAATTGGACGACCAAACACACGCTCGTTGCAAGAAAAAGACAGAGAAAATTGGTTTTAAATGGCCTTTTTTAAATTATTATTTTGTTGAGTATCAATTTTTTTGCAAAAATATATTTAAAAGTTTTAATCTTTTTTTCTTTTGTTTAATAATAATTTTCCTCATCCAAATCTGAAAGCATTCAACTCATTTTTTTTCTCTGTTTCAGACTCCTTCATCAACTCAGTTCTTATGAAGTTCTCTGAAAATGAATTCCAGAACAGCGATAACTCTGTTTTGAGACCGATTCTTCTGTACTCTTCAATTTTCCTTCTGGGTTTCTTTGCTTCTGAATCCACAAGTAATTAAGAACCGCTTAGTTTGCTGATTCAGGTTCTCCAACCTCATACTCCCTTTTTAATTTCGCCTCGTTTTCCTAAACAAACACTTTTGGTCTTGCTTTTTGTGACCTTTGCCATGATTATAAAGGGATTTTGTTGATTGGCTCTAGGACGCACGCACGCGTCTGTTTCTGCTCTGTAATTTAAGTGGGTGTGCCTTGTTCTTTGTTCATTGTTTTTCTTTTATGAGAATCCAGGGAGTTCTCAGAATTTTTGCGAGCGGTGGCTCAATTTAGATCCTATTGAGTTGACCCAGATAGGAATTTACAAGAAACAGGTTTCTTCGAGTAATTTTCGCCTCAATTGACTTGGATTTGACTTGTTTTTTGTGATTATTTTTGCATTTGTTTCTGTTCTTAAAGCGTTGCTATCGGATTTTCCTTAGCTCAAGTGAACTCTGAATCGGATTTTTGCGTTCTTGTTTAGCACACACATTCTTTTCTGCGATTAGATACGATTTGGGTTTCTTCGCATCCATCTGCTTAGCTTTTGTGGGGTTATATGTGAAATGAGTTGATGAATTTGACTTGGGTATGTCTAATTTGGCTTCCTCAGGATTCTATTGGATTGGCTCATTGGCATGTGGCGTTGGATGGACTAGAGGAGCTTTACAAGCACTTTTATAATCCAAAGCTCTGAATCATAATCATTGCATCTGTGGTCAAATTTGGTTATCGGGATGGGTTGTGAATGTTCGAAGTTCGCAGATTGTTGTTTTGGTTCAGAGGAAACCAAACCAGTTGCTAGTGTTCCAGAAGATGGTAATAAGTTTGTGCATTTTAGAGGTTCCTGAGAATTCTAATGCTCATGTTTTCATGTTGTTCATATGTTCAGAAAGTGTTGTGAAGAGCGAGTTGGATGTGCCCACATTTCGTGAGTTCACCATTGATCAATTGAGGACGGCTACGTCTGGATTTGCTGTTGAAAATATAGTATCTGAACATGGGGAAAAGGCTCCGAATGTGGTTTACAAGGGGAAGCTCGATAACCAGAGACGAATCGCCGTCAAAAGATTTAATAGATCAGCCTGGCCAGATGCTAGACAGTTTTTGGTTAGTACAGTCTCCATTTCGCATTTTTATGTTGCCATATTCTCGTGGATTCAAATGCATTTACACGTATTCATTTCGAGGTCCATGGAGGACTCGATTAGGTTGCCCTTTCCAATTTGGTAGGGAGGGCCACTTCTAGTAGATGGTGAACATGTTCTTGAAAGAATGTGAGCTACAAGATATTACACAAATTTCCTGTAACAGCCAAAACCCACCGTTAGCAAATATTGTCCGTTTTGGCCCTTTACGTATCACCGTTAGCCTCATAGTTTTAAAACGCGTCTATTGGGGAGAGGTTTTCACACTCTTATAAGGAATGTTTCGTTTCCCTCTTCAACTGACGTGGGATCTCACATTTTCTCCAATGTTCAGTAATTGAAATGAAGCACATACGTTAGGGCCATTTCAATTTACAATCTTGGGCTTAATCTGTCTATCTAGCTTGCTTTTTGTTCGACTCTTTTCAATGAACAAACAGAATCTTGTGTCGGTATATCGTATCTCGAGTATTTTGATAGAAATTTTGATGAAATTTCCGTCAGTCCATGATCTATTGCTGTTTCCATTCAATATTTTCTCTCCTGGTTTTCGATATTGCCACGGCCTGATTCTATTACTTATTCAGTTGATTATATTGTATATTTTCATATCGTATATTCTATTGGCCATTACCTTTCGTGTGCGACATGCAAGTCTGTAAGGTTAGCTTTAGGTTGGTAAAAATAATTTTCTTCACATGGAGCTTACACACTAACTGCTTTAGGCTAAACAGAATATTTTGTTACATATGTCTGCAATATTTTCATTTTTAGGACGAAGCAAGGGCTGTCGGTCAGCTTCGGAACCAAAGACTGGCAAATTTACTTGGCTGTTGCTTCGAGGGTGAGGAGCGGTTGCTTGTTGCAGAATTTATGCCCAATGAAACATTAGCAAAGCACTTATTTCATTGTAAGTAAATTGAAATTATTATTCAGATCAGCTACATTATATCTCTTTTCACATTCAAGCCACGATTATTTTCTATATATTATGAACATATTTATGCTTCTTTTGCTTCATGGGAGATGCAATCTAAGTGCTTGGCATTTTTCTTCTGAGGTGGTGGGTATTAATTGTTTTTTTGTTCAATCCCTGTGACCTTCTTGTATGCCTATCCTTCCCTGTCGATACCGTGATAATATGTTAAATATTTTATTTCGACCTTACTGTATACACCATTTTTTAATTTCATCTCCAATGTTTTGGCACTTTTCAATTAAGTATCTATGTTTTGACAATTAAAATTTAGGGGCACTTGCAAATATGGCAACAACACTAAGCATCTGTCACACATTGTTTCCTAAATTTTGTACATGTGCTATTCAGGGGAAAATCAGCCTATGAAGTGGTCGATGCGGTTAAGGGTGGCACTACATCTTGCACAGGCTCTTGAATATTGCACCAGCAAAGGGCGAGCACTTTATCACGATCTAAATGCTTACAGAATTGTTTTTGATGATGTATGTATCATTTTATCTTTTCTTCCATATCTTATACCCTCATGTTAGGATTTGACTAAGTTATTCACACTAAACATATCTTCTTTTAGGAAGGAAACCCTCGACTTTCATGTTTCGGTCTGATGAAAAATAGTAGAGACGGGAGAAGTTACAGCACAAATTTGGCATTTACTCCCCCTGAATATTTAAGGACAGGTATATGCTCTCTATCTGGATGAAAATTTTATTATACCACGTGAAATTATGCTCATATATTGGGTCCAAACTTCAAGCGTCATGGTGACTACTTAGAATATTACGTTGCATGTAAGGTGGGAGATTTAAACATACGACGTCTTAGTGGGAGTAGAAATACCTTAACAATTGAGTAACGCTCATGTTTGCCATACTCGCTTATTTAGTACTCTTACCATTCTATGTACTCATGGTTTTCGCTGCAGGTGGAATAACACCAGAAAGTGTCATATACAGCTTTGGAACTCTTTTGCTTGACCTTCTAAGTGGAAAACATATTCCTCCAAGCCATGTAAGTGTCTTATTTTTTTAAAAGCTGTTTCTATGTTGTTATGGCGTGAGTTCTTTTAAGATCTGGCAATGTTTGGTATGGATAGAAAACAACAAGTTACTTCTTGGAAATCTCTATTGTTACCTCTGTACGTTGTCGTTCATAAATTCGGTACCAAGTTTTTTACTTTACTAATATTTGTTTGGACATCTCTCAGGCTCTAGACCTCATACGGGACAGGAATCTTCAGATGCTTACTGATTCTTGTCTGGAAGGACAATTCTCAAATGATGAGGGTACTGAATTAGTGCGCCTTGCTTCACGCTGTTTACAATATGAACCTAGAGAGCGTCCCAATACAAAATCATTAGTTGCGGCATTGATTCCTCTTCAGAAAGATGTCGAGGTAACTTACCCCCCCTCCCCGCTTAGTGCTTGCATTTATCATTTCGAGTATCTCCCTTATCAATCTCTTATGATAACTTGTACAAGGCATAAGTTCATATTTACTGTATGAGCTGCTAGATTTTAGACAAGAAGCATGCTAGCATAAGATCTAATGATAATATCTGGCTATTTGGTTT